GACCGGTGTCGGGTGCCGACAGCTTCTTGAGGCACACAGGCTCCCTCTGGGCTAGGGTTTGGAGCGTGCGCACGGGGAGGGAGTGGTGACCAGGAGCCGCTGAAGCTTGACGGACGGTGAGGTGTCCGGAGACGGCGGCGAGGATGCCCCACGAGCTGCGCATTCTGGATGCGCAAGGTGGATAGTCACAGGAGCAGTTGTCTGCGGGCAGCCCATTTGAGCTCGAGAGCAGAGCAGCACTTTGGCTCGTCGATGTGATTTTATCTATTAATTATTTTATTTACGAAATCTCGAAACAATATCCTCATTTTTCAGAAATTTCATTTTTGTCACCCCGTCGTTGCAGTGCGGAGCGGTGTGCTACCGGTGCACCGGACGCGTAGTGCATTTGAAAATATTAAAAAAAAATAAAAAAAATCTACTACATAATTTAAAAAAATCTAATATATTGACACAACATTAATGTATGTTGTCACAAAATTTCATATCAAAATTTAAAATGTTGCACGAAATAAAAAACGAAAATTTTGACATCAATATGATTTTTTTTTTGCAGGGAAGTTGGGTTTCAGAATAAGGTTTGGGTCTTGCCACCTGATCCTTTGTGTGTCTGTGTGCTCTTTTCCATTCTTACCCGACCCAGATCATTTTTGGCCGAAGGAGTAGGAGTAGCCCACGGCCAGATCCATTAGAATGGAGGCTCTCCTGGTGATTGAGACTCTGATCCATCCATGGGATAGAGGCAAGGGGGCTTGGACGCAAGACGAACTCCGTTTGCACTAGGAGCTCCGGTGGAGAGGAGATTGGGAAGGATCACGTCCCGTGGATGCGGCCAAAGGGCGGTCTCGGTTATTTCCCTATCGAATTGGTAGAGACAGGATAGATAGAGGATACTATTGTCACTTTTTCTCCTCCACTTCCCTAGAGATCGCGCTAGCACTTGCTTTCTCCACTCTCTACTTCATCCAATAGTAATATCCTTGTATCCAAAATTGGCAAATATTGGACGGTGCACTTCACCCAACAACACGAAGAACATTAACAATACATTAAAATGTTATTTTATATCACGCAAAATTATTCGGTGCTAGTACAAACTAGTGTTCATCCTATTCCCCAAGAACTAGTAATTCACTCAAACATGTAGATGACGTACATAAAGGAATGAGACAAGTTACCAGCCAACATGATGTTGGAGATGAAGAGGAGCATGTTGGCAGCGGCGACGGAGAGGGCACTAATACGTCTCCAACCTATCTATAATTCTTGATTGTTTCATGCTATTATATTATCCATCTTGGATGTTTTATATGCATTATTATATTATTTTATATCATTTTTTGGGACTAACCTATTAACATAGTGCCCAGTGCCAGTTGTTGTTTTTCCTTGTTTTTGTCTTCTACAGAAAAGCAATACCAAACGGAGTCCAAACGAAATAATTTTTTTGACAATTTTCTTGGACCACAAGACAACCACAAAGCTTCGGGGGAGGCCAGAAAAGCCACGAGATGGCTGATAACCCACAAGTATATGGGATAGCAATAGTTTTCGAGGGTATAATATTCAACCCAAATTTATAGATTCGACATAAGGGGAGCCAAAGAATACTTGCAAGTATTAGCATCTGAGTTGTCAATTCAAGCACACCTGGAGATTAATTATATGTAGCAAAGTGATCAGTATCACAATAATATGATAGTTTTGATAGTAGTAGCAACAACAATAGTAACGGTGACAGTGATAACAATGATTTTGTAGCAGTAACTATAGCAGTGGCAATAGTAGTAACTTAGCAAGAACAATATAAGGTAAATTCGTAGGCATTGGATCGGTGACTTGTTGGATGATATTCATCATGAGACAGTCATAACCTAGGGCGATATGGCACTAGTTCCAGTTCATAAATACAATGTAGGCATGTATTCCATAAATAGTCATACGTGCTTATGGAAAGAACTTGCATGGCATCTTTTGTCCTACCCTCCCGTGGCAGCGGGTCCTATTAGAAACTAAGGGATATTAAGGCCTCCTTTTAATAAAGTACCGGAACAAAGCATTAGCACACGATGAATACATGAACTCCTCAAACTACGGTCATCATCGGGAGTGGTCCCGACTATTGTCACTCCGGGGTTGCCGGATCATAACACGTAGTAGGTGACTGTAACTTGCAAGATCGGATCTAGAACATGGATATAATGGTGATAACATAAACGGTTCAGATCTGAAATCATGGCACACGGACCCAAAGTGACAATCATTAAGCATGTCAAAGTCATAGCAACATCAATCTCAGAACATAGTGGATACTAGGGATCAGGCCCTAACAAAACTAACTAGATTACATGATGAATCTCATCCAGCTCCTCACGGACCAGCGAGCCTACGAAGGAATTACTCATTCTCGGTGGGGAGCATCATGGAATTGGTGATGGATATGTGTTGGTGATGACGAAGATCGAAGATCCCCCTCTCCGGAGCCCCAAACGGACTCCAGATCTGGCCTCCAGATAAAGAACAGGAGACGACGACAGCTCTGTCTCGTGAAACATGATAATTCTTTCTTCCTAATTATTTTCTGGAAAAAAGTGATTTTATAGCATCGGTTTCAGGGTCGTCGAGGCCACCAGGTGGGGACAACCCACCTGGGCGCGCCTAGAGGGGGTGGCGCGCCCTGGTGGGTTGTGCCCACCCAGGTGCCCCCCTTCGGTGGTTCTTGGCTCCAGATATTTTCTTTTATTGTACAAAAAATTCTCGCAAAGTTTCGCTCCATTCCGATAACTTTTATTTCTGCACAAAAACAACACCATGGTAGTTCTACTGAAAACAACGTCAGTCCGGGTTAGTTTCATTCAAACCATGCAAATTAGAGTCCAAGACAAGAGGAAAAGCATTAGGAAAAGTAGATACGACGGAGACGTATCAACTCCCCCAAGATTAAACCTTTGCTTGTCCTCAAGCAATTCAGTTGATAAACTGAAAGTGAAAAAGAAAAACTTTTACGAACTCTTTTGCTCTTGTTTCATAAATAAGCTTAAACAACACCCAGGTTTTCAGTAAAGATTATAACTAACCATGTCAACAAGAACTCTTAAAAATTATATTAACTCATATCAATGACATAATCAACTAGAGAGCAGCAATAAGATATCTCAAACAGCAACACGTTGTCAAAACTACCATGATATAATATGACAATAGTGGTATCTCGCTAGCCCTTTACGAGACCACAAAACATAAATGCAGAGCACCTCCAAAGTTCAAGCAGCGACTAAACATTGTAATTCATGGTAGAAAAGATCCAGTCATGATGCACCCAACATTAGCTACACACAATGCATCAGCATGACCGCAATGCTCTCAGGTTTTGGCGCTTATTTGAGAAGGTGATGACACAACATAAAAGTAAATAGATAGTCCCTTTGCAGAGGGAAGTAGTGATTTGCAGAGATGCCAGAGCTCAAGTTTTTAAAATAGAGGTAAATAAAATTTTGAGACATGCACCCTTCTCATTTACTTCACGACCATCAGTTATTAATATCTCCCATGCTAAGCATGCTAGTGGCGGTTCCCAAGCGGAAAGGTAAAGGTTCTGACTCCATTGGGAGTTTTTGTTTGATTATTTGAGAGATCAATTCTTTTTGCAATTTGGGACTGGGCATCCCTATTACCGCCCTTTTCTCATGCGATGGCGAGTGAATAAACACTCGACCTGCAAATAACCCGCTTAGCATGGAAGATACCGACTACCTCATGTCGTTCCATGAATGATGCAGGCACACAAAAAGGATATTTATTTGAAGTTTTTAGAGATGGCACATGCAAATTTACTTAGGACGGCAGGGTAATACCGCATATAGGTAGGTATGGTGGACTCATCTGGAATAACTTGGGTTTCAGGTTTTTGATGTACAAGCAGAGTTCCCACTTAGTACAGGTGAGGCTAGCAAATAGGTTGAGAAGCGGCCAACTAGAGAGCAACAACAGTCATGAACATGCATTATGCATAATTAACATTGGATACTAGCATGAGTAGGATATGAACACCATGAACATAAATATCATAGAGGCTATGTTGGTTTTGATTTAACTACATGCATGAACATGTGCCAAGTCAAGCCACTCAAACATTCATAGGAGGATACCGTATCATCATACTACATCACAATCATTTTAACGCAATGTTGATATCCAAGATACGTCATTATTCATCCTAGCTACTTATGCATGGCATGAGAAACTATAATCTCTAATTATCATTGCAAACAGGTTTGATCATAATAGGCTGAATCATGGATACTAGGTTAAACATATTTACAAAAACAGAACAAGTCGAGTTCATACCCGTTTCTCTCTGCCACAGCCAGTTCATCTAATATCATCATTATTGCCTTTCACTTGCACGATCGAACGATTTGAAAATAATAATAATAATAATAATAATAATAATAATAATAATAATAATAATAATAATAATAATAATAGTGCAAGAGTGTCGTGGACTAAGCTGGAATCTGCAAACATTTTATTCAAAAGGAGAAGACAAGGTAATACGGGCCCTTCGTTAGATCAACTATAATGCAAATGAGAGCCACTCAACATTTTCATCGTGGTCTTCTCCTTGGTATGACTCAACAAAAAGAAAATAAATTCAGAGAAACACACTGAAATATTTTTGGAGTTTTTGGTTTTTCGTAAACGAGCAACTGAAAAGAGAAAAGCAAAAAAAAGAAAAACTATTTACACGGGAAAGCTTCCAACAAGTAAAAGAAGAACAAGGAAATCTTTTTAGGTTTTATTTTTAGTGCTATAATTTAAACTAGGAAGAAAAATAAAAAAGAAGCAAGAGACATATTTTTGGATTTTCTCAAGGTTTTTCAAACACACAAGAAGAAAGCGAGAAAATAAATTTAACATGGATGATACAATGAAAAAGTGTGAACACCGACAACTGGAATGAAATATGTGAACATGAATGTAATGTCGGTGGGAATATGTACTCCCCCAAGCTTAGGCTTTTGGTCTAACTTGGTGATCACCAGTCGTAGAAACCGTGACGTCTAATATTGAAGTGCTGGGGAGCAGGCACCAGAGGGTCCCACTGTTGAGGGTCCTCCTGTGCCGCAGCCAGGCTGTTCCGGTAAGCGACAACGTCCTCAG